CCCCCACTGACACAATGACATTGGTTTGGGCTGACCTGGACTGTGATGTCCTTTTGATACGTGTACTTGATTCTTCCTTATGCTTTTGTTTTATTTGGTTGTGAGTTTCAACTCTTTCATGTCCCGTTTTTAGTGGGTGGTTGGAGGGTGCTAGTGGTAGGTTCTGCTTCTTCTCTTTCCCTCTGATGTGTCTGTCTTTTCCCTAGTTTGAACTCACTGTTGTTTTCATGTCCTTCTCTTCCTCAAAGTTCTTAGTCATTTTCTTGTCTTTTGTTTGATTTGTTTCTTCTCTAAACGCTTGTTCTGTTCTGAACATACTATCTGGCCCAGTTTGGTTTACTTTCCAGTTTCGGGCTGTGTGTGTTTGGAAGGTGCTCTGGTACGGTTTACTCCTTCTTTCCTATCCAGCATCTATGGTGCTTATCTGTCCTTTTCTTTTGAATGTAATCTCTTGTAACATCTCGAATCATCACCACTTCTATGGCCTATTTGTGTTGCAAGTGCAGTAAAATTCCTGCTCAACTAAGACCAAGTGAACTTGTAGTATTGACGTGCTTCTCTTTCCTCTTGTACTCTTACTCCAGTTTGAGATATTGCGCTCGGTGGACAACGAGGAAAATGCCCTCCAAGTGGCCGGTGAACTGGGACGCAAGGAGATGGTTGGTCTGCTCACCGACGAGTTCTTCAATCGCAAACTGGCACAGCAGAGGAAGCGGAAACACCCACCGGCTCCCGTCATCTCCAGCATGAGCACCGGAGAGTAAGACTTGTGTGAAACTGTACTCGTGAACCGTGCTGGGGGGGGGGGGGGTATTTTGTCCTCACATGGTGTTATGGAGAACATTCCTACAGAACGCTGAGAAAATTTTAGTGTTTGTATGATTAGCTGGGAGGGGGGTGGGTAATGCATTGTTTTATTGTTGCTTTTGTTAAATCAACTTATTTTTTTCATTTTTTATCAGTTAGGGCCACACGCTGTCTCGAGATTCCATAATCTACAGATTTGTGATTTTCCCTTGTTTTCTTTAATGTTCCCAGTGTTCCATTCAGGGATGAAAAGTTTTGTCTTCTGAGTCTCTGTCAGTTTCATAATCATGAAAATAACAAATCGGAAGAACCCATTTTCTAAAGCTGAAAAACTAGTTATATGGCCTTGTTGTGTTGCAAGTACAGTAAAACTCTTACTAAAACTAAATTTCTCTTGTCCCTGCACACGTTTGTTCACAGGGTCTGAAAAGTTCAGGATTGTTCTCTTCACAGCCAGATTACACCTCTGATTCTAAGAGACAATCAGTAAAACTATTAGTCAGTAAAACTATCTGTCAATATAACTATCTCTCAGTAAAACTATCTGTCAATATAACAGAGGCATAAAGAGATGCCTTTATTCATTGACAAGACTCTGGTAGAACTAGTCATATTGATGGAAACAACTTGAAAGTTCTGAGACAAAACAAGCTTTCACATTCAACGTGTTGGCTCTGACTGCCTCGTATGTTGTATTTAAGAAAAACTCCTTGCGTGCGACAGTGAAGCTCCTCACTGCTACGCCACAGACGCTGGTTAGGAAAAGATAACTGGTTGGAACCCCCCCCCCCCCCGAAAAATCAGTACTGAATGGAGAACTAATGCTGATTCCTTTTCTTTTGTGTCTGACCAGTGTTGCAAATCCATTTTCAGGTACAATCCAGTGTACTTGGGCATCCAGAATATCCGGGCCTTGAAGGTCAGCAGAGGCAACAAAGAGGGGAATGAAGCGTTTTTGAAGGTTTGACCTTTTGTTTGTCTGCTATTGATGGCTCACTGGTTACACTTGCACGTATAATAGAGATGGGCGAAGAATTGATTCCGGAACCGATTGCCACGATTGACGCTAAGAAAGAAGATTTCCAACTCCTTTTTACGTAAACCAGCGGTTACCAATTACTTTAATCATTAAAATCTTCTTCTTTATATTAGAATTTATTTTTGAAAAAAAAAAGTTTATGCTTCGTAGTGTTTCGAAATCAAGGTTATCCTAAATCCTGAAGATGTTTAGAGCCAACCAGGTAACTACCGGAAGAAATCACATCACTAGAAAGTAGGTAATTGGATTCGGAGTCGATTCCTACGATTTCTAGCTTTCAATAATCGGGAACCTAGCCGCCCAGCATTAACGCATAAGGTCTCTGAACGGGTGTTTGTTCACCGTGGCAGATATAACATGCGTGGATCTATACCTATAAGGGTCGCTAAATGTGTGTTTGTTCACTGTGGCAGGTATTACATGCGTGGATCTACTAGAGTTGGGTCGGACTCGCCGAATCAGTGTCTGCGAGTAGCGAACTACTCGCTGGCACAACCTGCAAACGAACGGACGGGTAACGAGCCCAGACCTGCCACTCATCCCGATTTAGTCGGGATATCCCGATTTTTTGCCCCAAATCTCAATCCTCCCGATTTTCCCGATTTCTATCGCGTGTATCCCGATTTTTTGTCCCAGTCTGCTGTTGTGTCGGATTTTTCTTAAAACTTCCTCTGCCTTCTCCTTTATCGCGGGAAGCACCCGTCGAACTTTTTGTCAGTAGGAACTCGGAGCACTATTTCCCGAAATATCGATGCCGCATTTAGTAGTTGACTCTCCCCAAGTTGTGTGTGATCTTTGCCCGCACTCAGAATTCTCCGATGATAGCCTGGTAACTGTTTCTATTTGGGACATTATTCAATAATCGATTATATTCGTAGTTCCGCTGTTACTTTTCTAAACAAGCATTGTCCGAGGTCTGGTAACTGCGCGTTCACACCAAACACTCGGACGAGCGACTGTCTTTCTAACCCTTACACAACTACATGTAACTGCGCTTACAAGACAAACATACGGCCGATGTCGTTGCTTTAGTCTGAACACATGAGGGATAAGAGATTTGTTGGTACATTTGGTCGGTCGGCCGCCGTGGTTATCCTTGAAGTAGAACGACTGTCGCTCATCCGAGTGTTTTGTGTGAACGTGCAGTAACCAGTTAGTCGGTCGGACCCGTTAGTATTGTTTCAATCGCACAGTCGCGTCACGTGACATATCATCGCCGTGTGAGTTCTGCGTGTCGGGGACCGTCCGTTGACGGGGTCAACTTAAGTTCAGGTATTTCGGGACTTATTGGTAAAGGTGGGGGGGGTTATAGACACTTGGACTAGAAGTTCTTGACGCGATGCTTCAGGATTTACAAAAAATAATGATTACTCACGCGCACGCACACACACACACACGCGCGCAAAAAAAGACACACAGAGGGCATATAGGCCAAGGAATTTATGGACACCCCTGGAAAAATTTTAAGTCAGCTTTGGCAGTCACCTTGGTGATTTGCTGTTGATCCCGATTTTTTTCACCAAATCCCGATTTTTTCTCCATGAGATCCTGATTTTGAGGTTTCATAGAGGGGCAGGTCTGTGAGCCGTCTGCTCGTGAAGAGTAGTTCGCCACTCACTACATATTGGCCAGAGACAACAGTTCATTTAGCGAGCGAGCGGACAGGCGGACGGAGAGACTCCATGCATTAGAGCGGCCGGCCGGACGGGGAGTGACTCCTTCCAATACATACTGCTTCCCCCCCCCCCCTCTTCCCCCAGGAAAAATCACCCTCCTGCCCCACATTGTAGCTAGGCGTTCATGGCCGAAGTTTCTTTTACCCCCCCCCCAAGGCCTTTGAGAATTCTTTAAACTTTACTTTTGTGATAAATTGGAACGTACACAGAGTGCCTACATACAAAGTGAAAGGTTACTCACATAGTATTATTACGTCCCAGCTTCTCTCACTCCCTGTGGCACCGCTAGTGGCTTGACACATTAGGCCTAATTAACAAACAATAGACGCCTTGCCTAACCTCGCGCAGAGTATCTCGTCTGCTAGAGTTCGTCCGTTCGCCCGCCCGCTCAGAGAATATGTGGAGCGGGCCCAAAAAACGAGCTGACTTGAGGTCCACAGTCCGCTCGCTGAGAGAGTAAAATTGTGGAGCGGACCCAAAAAACGATCTGTCTTGAAGCTCGCAGTCTTCTCACATGGCCGTCCGTTACCCTCTCGCTCAGGCTGAGTCCGCGAGTAACGAACTCGTCTGTCTGCTCGCCCCAACTCTTGGGTCTACGCCTATAGTGGTCTCTAAATGTACGTTTGTTCACCATGGCAGATATGACATGCAAAGATCTAAGCCTACAGGGTCTCTGAACACCAAGTGCAGAGGACGCCAGTTTACGTGAACACCACCAGACTATATCTGATGTACCGGGAATACCTAGACACTCGACTGTGCTGGATCCCTCAGTTACTTGTAATAGGAAGTTGTCTTGAAAAAAGCAGAACATGCTTAAAATAGTTTGCCTGTAAACTGTTAACTCGCCTGATGCTGGGCACCGTATGGCCCAACCGTCGAAGAAATCCAGATGTTTTGGTGCTTATTAAAACAAATTATTGTGACCTTATTTTTGAAAACTCAACAATGAAACTTGGCATGCAAAAAAGGAAAAAAAACCATAGTGACAATTTTGTTCTTTTTTCCCCAGGATCGTGGCGGCAGTTACTGCAATGCGTCTGATGTGGTGAAGCAGTGGATGTCTCAAGGTGTGTCTGTGGACGTGATGGAGAGCTTCTTCCTGGCCTACTCCGTGGCTGAAGAGACCACCAGGGATGAGGAGGTGAACACCAAGATGGCCACTTTGTCACTCTTTGATTTTTTAACACCAGTTTTCTTTTCCTAACCCGTGTCTGTGTTGTAGTGGTGAGGTGTTACGCTGTCTTACTTTGAACTCGTTTGTGAGCGTGTTATAAGTGTGTGTGAATAAAGTCAGTGTGTGTGTGTTGGTGCACGCGCGCGCGTGCGTGTATGTGTGTGTGTGTGTTCGCGTATGTGTGTTTGTGTGTATGTGCGCGCGTGTGTGTGTGTGTGTATGTGCGCTGGCACGTATTTTCATTTGTGGTGGCTGTACATATACTTGATAGTGAGGAGTAGTGTGTGCTGTGCTGGGGTTTCATACTGCCGTCACCTTGAGTTCATGTTTTGATTTGGTGAGAGGGAGCGGATGGTTGGAGGGTTTCACGACCAAACCTTTCTTCATTTCTCTCTGACAGTTATTTGTGCTTTTTTCTTTGCACTTAATACCCTTTATCATGTTGATGTCTAACACTTTCCTCACATTCACGAATGTCTTGTCTGTTTACGGTCGGGCTGACAGCTGTACATGGCCATCGACGAGATCAACACAGCGGTGAAGAGAGGCCATCGTCGTCTGGCTGCCAAGTACGTGGCTGAGGCCGAGAGGTTGTCGGGATACGGCTTCAACTTTCTGCACAAAGAGGTAAACGCAATGTCATGCTCGTATTTCGTATTTGTCTGTACAAGTGTATATCAGCACAGTGTCTTCAGTGAGTGGTTGACGGGGGCTCTGGTGTGGTTTGCTCCTTCTTCCTCATCCAGCGTCCATTATCCGTATCTCTCCTTCTTTTCTTTGTGTGTTACTCTCCAGCAACACCTCTGATCTTGGGCACTTGTATGATGCAGTTGTGTTGCTAGTGCCTTGAGACTCTTACTAAAACTAAACGGAATGTCTTCTTGGTCATATGTATCAAGACAAATTCCTCATGATCGTATGTTGATGGTGTCAGGAACAACTGGCTCAGGTTGAGGTTTGACTACTATAAGCAGAGTCAAAGACATCATCGGAGGAAAAAATACACCATTACTGGAAAGATGCACGACAGTATTTTCTTTTTTTTCTATTTGTGTATGCCTAATTTGATTTGAAATGGCCTGTGCTCGCTTAGTTGAACAGTTTTTAGCCTTTCTTGTGAAAAAAAGGCTTCCTTTGGGTTGGCCCATCTGTGGCCAATGCCAACTATTTGTTCTCAATGGCTAGATAGAAAACAAATTGCAAGTTAAAAATTTAGAGTTTTGTTGTAAATAAAGGTTTTATGTTTTTTTTTGGTTTTTTTGTTTTGTGTGTCTTATCGGGAGATGAATGTTAAATTTGGAGGTCCTGCCTCTTAAAGATTTCTTCAACTTTTCCAGTACAATTTGGCACTGTTTCCCCTCTTGCCTCCAGTTGGTTGTGTGGTTGTGTTGTTTGTCTTGTCTTGTCTTGTCTTGTCTTGTCTTGTCTTGTCTTGTCTTGTCTTGTCTTTCCTTGGTCTAAATAATCCTTGTTGTTTCGTTGTGCCTGTCTTTACACAAACCAAGCTACAAATCTTCCCTCTCCTACAGGTGCTGAACTTTGAAAAGGAGGATCTGAGGGACATTATTCTGGCTGCCTCCGTACGCAAAAAACCATTCTCCAATGACGCTGTAAGTTTGAGGGAAATGTAATGTCAAGTGCACCACTCCTTAAATGGAAGAGAAAGTACAGCTGTGAATAGCTAGGGCATGTGTTTGAAGTTTATAAATGTTGTACATTACCAAGTAGTGTTGGTGAAAGAGGAAATAAATGTTTTACAGTACTAAATAGTGTTGGTGAATGAGGAAAATGAACTTTTATAGTAACAGATAGCTTCAAGTGTATAAAGAAAATGAATGTTTTACATTACCAAGTAGTGTTGGTGAATGAGGAAAATGAACTTTTATAGTGACAGATAGTGCAAGTGTTTAAAGAAAATGAATGTTGTACAGTATCAGATAATTTTAGTGCTGAGAGAAAATGCATGTTTTGCATTAGTGTAAGTGTACAAAGAAAATGAATGTTTGACCAGCCTGTCTCATCGTTTATCATACGACATGGGATGTTCACTGTTTGGACAATGCTGAAAGATGGGACCAGCTCTTTTTGAATGTCTGTGCTTGACAGGACATGTAACCAAGTGGAGGCAGAGCTGCCGAGCCCCATACCTGGCATACTAGTATCTCAGACCTGCCAAGTACTAGCATACAATTTTCCTTGAATGCGGTTTCCATCTGTCATACGCAACTTATCATAAATGACTTGAAAATACACGTTTAATTGCATTTGTTTACCATATTTGCATGACTGAAGTGTACACATTTTGATTTATGTGTATGCTATACACGTTTATTTGCCACTATGGCTTCGTAACACAATCTGAATCCACAAGGATTCTGGAGACGCCCACCTCCCACTTCCAGTTGTTGGGAGGATTTGGAGGAAAACTCCCAATTTTATGTCACGAAGTGGTTTGCCGGTCTGATTACTGAGCCATCTGGGCCCTCTCCCATTGGTTGTCACTGTGGTATTGTGTACATCTGATTTCCTGTCTGTCCTTTTGTTTCATCGTGTTTTTGTCGTATTTCATTCTTGCCTATACTGCAAAGTGTTTTTTTTGTCACATAGGTGGTTGGAGGGCGTCACTGATAAATTTTTCTTCTTGTCTTACCCTCTGTCGTTTTTGTCTGCCTGTCATTCATTTTCTCATCTCTCAATTGCCATTATTGTGTCGCTGTACTTCTGTTTACTCCAAAGTAATTCTATTGGAATTGTTTGTGCATAGGTGTTTGGAGGGTGTAAACGATAGGTCCCTCTTTAGTTTCTGTGTTTCGGTCTTACTTCTCCCCTGCTGTCCCTGTCCTTTCTCCCCTGCTGTCCCTGTCCTTTCTCCCCTGCTGTCCCTGTCCTTTCTCCCGTGCTGTCCCTGTCCTTTCTCCCCTGCTCTTAACTACGGACATTGTATTGACGTGCTTCTTTTTTCTCTGACACTAATGTGTTTATACTTGTCTCCCCTCCCCCTTCTGCCACCCCTTCCCCTTGTGTCCCTGTCCTTCCTCCCTCCCCCACCCTTTCTCCCTGTGTCTCTCTCCTTTTCTCCCCCCTCCTCCCTCCCCCACCCCTTCTCCTTGTTTCTCTCTCCCTTTTCCCCATCCCCCCTCCTCCTGTGTCTTCCACTTATTTATTCCTCTCCTCTCTCCCCTCTCACTTCCACCCCCCCCCATATGATCAGGTGACCCCCCTCCACTGCGCAGCCATCAACCCAAACGTGAAGTACCTGCGTCGGCTGCTGTCCATAGAACCAGACATCAACATACAGACACGCAGTCGTGCCCGGCCCATCCACTACGCCGCTGTCTGTGAGGGGACTGGACCTCTCGACTTTTTACTGGAAAGGTTAGAAGGGGGGAGGGGTTGGGGGGGGGAGTAAGAGAGAGATGAGCTAAAGAAAGATGGATGGAGAACGGGAAAAAGAGAGAGAGAACGACATGGAGAGAGAGAGAGAGAGAGAGAGAGAGAGAGAGCGATGATATGGAGAGAGAGAGAGCGACATGGAGAGCGAGAAAAAGAGAGAGAGAGAGAGAGCGATTATATGGAGAGAGGGAGAGCGACATGGAGAGCGAGAGAGAGAGAGAGAGAGCGATGATATGGAGAGAGGGAGAGCGACATGGAGAGCGAGAGAGAGAGAGAGAGAGCGATGATATGGAGAGAGAGAGAGCGACATGGAGAGCGAGAAAAAGAGAGAGAGAGAGAGAGCGATTATATGGAGAGAGGGAGAGCGACATGGAGAGCGAGAGAGAGAGAGAGAGAGCTATACAAAATCAAATGTCCGAAAACATGGCGCCCCAAAAGAGGCAGACTTGACAGAGGAACGTGTTATGTCCCCACAGACATGCCAGCCCGAGTGAGGCGGACTCCAGCGGAGAACTCCCCATCCACTGGGCCGCCCGCAGTGGACGACACAAGAACATCGATGTTTTAATCAAACATGCCAAGTCTGATGGTGAGCTTCATTTGCTTTATCTAATATCGATGGCGTCATGCTCTAAATGTGCAACTGAAAGAAATTGATCAACTCTTGTTTGTTTGTTTGTTGGTTTGTTTGTTTTTTTGTTTTTTGTTGTAAAACCATTGCTGAGGTTGATCTCTTTAAAAGTGAGGAGTCAGCTTCCGCTATCAATGCATGTAGTTTAAAAGTACTGTAGGTGAACTTTTGTATTTTATCACATCATTGAAATCAGGAGTTTCTAGGTTTTTTGTGCGTAGGAAAACAATGTTTATGTAACCAGCCATATGGTTAGACCCCAAGACCATTGATAGATATATCAGTCTCCCTGTTTGTTGACGCAGAATCTAAATGCCAGATAAAGAAAGGGGAGCATGATGACATGAATGGTGATTCCACATATTTTAGCCCTCTCGACTCTGACGCTTATCAAAATCACAAGGAATATTTCTTAACACGTACCGTTTTCAATTTAATGTTTGTGCTTTCCTCAACGTGTTCAAAAGTGGAAGTTGATTACCATGAGCTACTGAGCTAAGACTTCTGGGAATGATTTCTTTTTCTTTTTCCTTCTTTCCTTCTGTCTTGTGAATAAATGGGCTTAGACAGTGGGGAAGGGGAGGGGGGGGGGTTAACTGTGAGCGGTTGGAAGGCGCCACTGGGAGGTCCTACTACTGTTCTTAAATCTATTGTTTTTGCTTATCGCTCTTGCTTTTTCCATGCACGGAATGATGTGCTTCCCTGAACTAAAACGAACAAAACTTGGGATAAATTTTCATTTTTAAAAAATTGTTTTTTTCTTTGTTTTTCCGTCTGCTCCTGAAGCAATGGGTGGAGTTGTCAACGAGAAGTGGGGTGTGGGCAACGTCAACCGGCCCAACAGGTTCTCCGAGTGTCCACTGCACATAGCCGTACAGGCTGGACATCTGGTAAGGTTAACCCATTATGTCCTAACCCTAAGTTGCTCTATGTAGGCCATATGTGAAACTGTCAGGATACAGCGCATTGTGCAACTATATTTGTGTCTTTTATTTCGTTGCCATTTATAGTGTTTTGTTTTATTGATAGATAGAGAAAAAGTGTTTTGTTTTGTTGCCATTTATAGTGTTTTGTTTTATTGATAGATAGAGAAAAAGTGTTTTATTTCGTTGCCATTTATAGTGTTTTGTTTTATTGATAGATAAGGAAAAGGGTTTTATTTTGTGTTATAGATAAATATAGATATATATATAGTGAGTGTTTTACTCCATTTTTATATAGAATAAGGGGTTTATTTCATTGCTGTATGTATGTAGCGTTTATTTCATTGCTGTATGTAGCGTTTATTTCATTGCTGTATGTAGCGTTTATTTCATTGCTGTATGTATGTAGCGTTTATTTCATTGCTGTATGTAGCGTTTATTTCATTGCTGTATGTATGTAGCGTTTATTTCATTGCTGTATGTATGTAGCGTTTATTTCATTGCTGTATGTAGCGTTTATTTCATTGCTGTATGTATGTAGCGTTTATTTCATTGCTGTATGTATGTAATGTTTATTTCTTTGCTGTATGTATTTAGCGTTTATTTCATTACTGTATGTATGTAGCGTTTATTTCATTGCTGTATGTATGTAATGTTTATTTCTTTGCTGTATGTATTTAGCGTTTATTTCATTACTGTATGTATGTAGCGTTTATTTCATTGCTGTATGTATGTAATGTTTATTTCTTTGCTGTATGTATTTAGCGTTTATTTCAATTCAGCAAAATAGAGTGTCTAATAATATTTGCAGTGCATGCTTCTATTATCTATTTGTGGTGGCCGAATGTTGCTATTCAAAAGGCTTTTTAATGGCTGCATCGATCGACATGCGGTTTTCGCCAAAAAAATTTTAAAAATATTCTCCAGATCATGACACCCTTGGTTTTTTCAGTTTTGAGACAGTTTTGCTGCAAAAAGCTAAATTTCTTTATTTCGCTGATCGCTTTTGTAGGCCGACACTTCTGTCTCTGTAATTTTAGAAAGTCCGGAAGTGATATTTCGCGAGGCGCATTTTGTTTTGAGAGTATAGATCTAGACCTTCGAATTTTTTGCATCTCTCAAGATTTATTGCCCCATTCCAGCAGAGTATAAATATAGCAGGCCAATGAGTTTTAGTTGATATTAAAGCACCGATCATTCCTTTCATCGAAAGGGGGCCCAGCTAGTTGTTTTATATTTATGTAAAGTGCATGTTTTATTTCCTTGGTGGTCTAAAATCGATAAGAGTAGGCTTCGGCCGCCACCCGGGCAAAATTCAAAATTTCCTACCAACTGAAAATATTAGGTGTGTCCCGTGCGCTCATATGACCTTATGCAGTTGCGAGCGCCGTAAAACACTTTACAAAAACAAAAAAACAAATTTCCTTGCTGTTTCAAGTGCATGTTTTGTTTGTCAGGATACGGTGCGCACGCTGATTAAGCATGGAGCAGACGTGAACAAACAGCTGTCGGCTGGCAAGGGCAAGGTCACGCCACTCATGCTGGCCTCGCAGGCCGGCTCTCTCAACATGGCGCGTGTGTTGGTACAGAGTGGTGCCGCTGTCGAGATTGTGGGTACGTCGGCGTGTCTGTCTGTGTGTTTGTATCACTCCCGTGTGTATGAGTGTCTTTTTGTGGCTGTGTCTGTGAATCTGATTGTCTTCGTGGGTGTGTGAGTGCGTGTGCGTATGTGTGTGTGTGTATGCGTGTGTGTGTTTATGTGTGTCTGTATGTGTTGTGTGTCCGTCTGTCTGTCTGTCTGTGTTTATGTGTGTGATTTGTGTTGTGCCCTCTTCTAGACTTGCATCATGATTGGTTGAAGGGCACTTCTGGTAGCTCCTGCTTCTTTCTTCTCCGTCTGTTGTGCCAGTCGGTGTGTGTCCCTCTCTCCCTGCGCTGAAGGACTGTCATTGTGTTGAAATGCTGCTCTTTGCCCAAATAGATGTAGGTGGCTGATACAAAGGTTTGGTTCTTTGCTGTCGTAGACAGAAGATGTCAGTTGTATGTTGGGAGTATTTCTGTCTGTCTGCAGGAATACTGTGTACGTGGGTGGTTGGCGGGTGCTCTGGTGTGGTTTGCTTCTTCTTTCCTGTCAAAGATCTGTCGTCCTTATCTCCCCTTCTTCTTTTTTATGTTTGTTACTCTCTTGTAACACCTCTAATCTTCTGGCGCTCATATGACCTTTTATACAGTTGCTAGTGCCGTAAAACCTCTACTAAAACTAAACTGAATATACTGTGTACCACTCAGCCCAGTTTGCCCCGCTTTGAACCTTCCAAATTGTTTGGATTGCGGAGTAAAACATCTAGACTCGTTAACGATTGTCTCATTTAGCCTGCTTCAAGGCAGCGGCGTGAAATTGTGTAAAATTCCTCCCTAAGTATATGTAATAATAATATTAAATAGCATTTATATAGCACATATCCCCGCTCAACAGCAAGCTCTATGCGCTTTACACTATATTATTACCCCAACAGACCATAGAACACTCTGAAACATTCTCAGCTTCCCGGGAAGCATACAATGCAAGCAGCTTGATTAAGCGCTCAAACACTAACAAACTGACAAGATCTTTCGCTGTCTATAGCTGGGTACCCATTCCCATCTGGGTGAAGTGAGGAAAATTTGTGTTAAGTGCCTTTCCCAAGGACACAACGTCGGGCCCTTGACGATGTAAGGCATCATGGTGATATCAGGCACTGGTCAAAGTAAAGAAATAAAGAAAAAGGCATTTTTCCACCAGTTTGATCATTTTGATCAAAATTGTGTTTTTTTTGACTAAACACCTTTGGTGTTTGTGAAAACACATTTCCATATGTGAGGCAGCCTTTGGTGTTTGTATGAAAACACATTTCCATATGTGAGGCAGCCTTTGGTGTTTGTATGAAAACACATTTCCATATGTGAGGCAGCGTGGTGGAATCAGGCTCTCATCAATTTTTGAGCCTGTAGAGTTATTGGTATCATCTTAAGGCTTGTTCACCTGTCTTTATTTGGATGAAAAAATATCCATTTATCTTGAATACAAGTCGAGATATTTGCGAAAGAAGGAGGTGGGGGTCACCTGTTTTCAGTGAAAAAATGGCCGCAAAAGGTTAGTTATTTCCTTAGCTTAAGAGTCCGTGGTAAATGAAAATTTACTTTTTTTGTGTCTTTGATCCACGTTTTTCAGAAAAATCCAAACAGAAATGAGTTCTTTAAAGGGCATGAAAGGTGTGGAGCCAAAAAACGAAAATTTGATAAAAATTAATGAAAATGCGGAAAAATGCAAGTTTCTTCATTTTGATTATTTTGACGAGAGCCTGATTCCAGCACGCTGCCTCACATATACATTTGAGTGAAAAACCTTGTTTAAGGCACAAAATGTGTAGTGTTCAGTTCTCAATGACTCGTAAGCTATTGAATTTACCCAACTTTGGTGGGTGGCTTTTTTCTCACTAATTTTACTTCTGAAACCAGTCGACCCCACCTCCTTCAATTCCAAATATCTCGACTTCTATTCAAGATAAATGAATATTTTTTCCATTGAAAGCAAGACAAATGAACAAGCTTTTAGATGACACCAATAAATCCATATGCCTAAAAATTGATGAGCGCCTGATTCCACCACGACGTGTCACATATGTAGTTTTTGTTGAGTGGAGTGTCAAACCCCCCC